CGCTTCGGGTAAGCAGAAGTGGAGACTAGTTGTTGACTTTCGTAAACTGAATGACAAGACCATCGACGACAAATATCCTATCCCGAACATTTCCGACGTATTAGACAAACTTGGTAGGTGTCAGTACTTTACGACGTTAGACTTAGCATCAGGATTTTATCAAGTTGAGATGCATCCAGATGATATTTCGAAAACTGCTTTCAGTATAGAGCATGGGCACTTCGAGTTCCTCCGCATGCCCATGGGTTTAAAGAACTCGCCATCTACCTTCCAGCGGGTGATGGACAACGTCCTCAGAGGATTGCAAAACGAGATCTGCCTCGTATACTTAGACGATATCATTGTTTTTAGCACATCTTTACAAGAACACATAGTTAATCTCGAAAAGGTATTCAGCAGACTAAGGGAATCCAATTTTAAGATTCAAATGGATAAATCCGAATTTCTTAAATTAGAAACTGCTTACCTAGGACACATCATTAGTAAAGATGGAATTAAGCCAAATCCAGATAAAATATCCGCCATAAAAAATTATCCCCTACCCAAAACCGCGAAGGAAATTAAACAGTTTTTAGGCCTCGTAGGATATTATCGGAAGTTCATCCCAGACTTCGCTAGAATCACCAAACCTTTGACACAGTGTCTGAAAAAAGGACGTAAAATAACTCTTGACAAAGACTATACTAACTGCTTCGAAAAGTGTAAGACTCTCCTGACTAACGACCCAATCCTCCAATATCCTGATTTCAGTAAAGAATTCATCCTTACTACTGACGCATCAAACGTAGCAATAGGAGCAATCCTATCTCAGGGACCCATAGGCTCAGATAAACCTGTATGTTACGCTTCTAGAACTCTAAATGAGAGCGAAGTGAACTACAGCACAATAGAAAAAGAACTACTTGCTATTGTATGGGCAACCAAATACTTCAAATCCTATCTGTTTGGCCGTACTTTTAAGATCTTAACAGATCACAAACCCCTTCAGTGGGTAATGAACCTTAAGGAACCCAACTCACGACTTACTAGGTGGAAATTAAAATTAAGTGAATATGATTTCTCTGTAATTTACAAAAAGGGTAAATGTAATACCAATGCCGATGCACTTTCCCGAGTAGAGATACACAACGCGAGGAATCATGTTCTATGATAGCCAACCCGTCAGTAAAAATAGGCAACGGATCCACTACCCAAACTGCCCACACAGGCTCTACTACCCAGACAGCCCACACAAGTCAAGAGAATCCAATCCTTGAAATACCTATCACCGACGAACCTCTTAATAAATTCCACAGACAGCTAATACTAACAATTGTAGGCGACATAAAGAGACGACCAATAGCAACCAAACCTTTCGACACGCATACTCGAACATCTATACAAATAAGACAACCAGAAATGGAAGTAGACCTTGTTAATGCTATAAAAGAATACGTGAACCCAAAAGTCAAAACCGGATTATTAATCAACCCTCCGCTTTGCATGTACGACGTCATTCCAATACTACAAGAAAAAAATTTAAAAGCTCATCTATGAATCTCGTTTTAACTGAAGTTGAGCTCGAAAATGTAAAAGAATATTTGAATCAGCAGGAAATAATAAAGAATTACCACGAAGGTAAAACCAACCATCGCGGTATTAATGAGTGTTTCCTGGCCCTTTCCAAACGTTATTACTGGCCCAAAATGAGGGAACACATTACAAAATACATTAATGAGTGCACCATATGTGGCCAAGCCAAGTACGATAGGAAACCTGTAAAACCACAGTTCAATATCGTGCCCCCCGCGACCAAAACATTCGAGACTATCCATATGGACATGTTCACTGTACATAACGAAAAGTATCTCACATTCATAGACGTATTTTCCAAATATGCTCAAGCGTACCACTTAAGAGACGGAACAGCGTTGAGTATTTTGCAACGCTTACTTACCTTTTGTACACATCATGGTCTTCCTTTGACAATAGTCACTGACAATGGGACCGAATTTACGAACCAATTATTTACTGAATTTGTACAATTACACAAAATCAATCATCATAAAACATTAGCCCACTGTCCTAATGATAACGGCAACATAGAACGCTTTCACTCAACTCTACTAGAACATCTGCGAATCCTAAAACTACAAAAGAAAGACGAACATGTAGTTAACCTAATGCCTTATGCTATCTTGGGATACAACAGTTCTGTACATAGCTTTACCAAATGCAGGCCGTATGACATTATCAATGGACATTTCGACCCTAGAGACCCAATCGACATCGACTTGTCAAAACACTTACTACAGCAGTACATACTAACACACCTGCGATCAAATGAAAACCGTGTATGATTTAATTAACGAACGTTCTCTATCCGAACGCTCAACACTTATAAATAACCGGAATAAATCCCGGGAGCCCGAAGTTGAATATCAACCAAACCAACAGGTTTTTATTTCCAACCCCTTAGCTAGCCGACAAAAATTGGCCCGCGTTACACCCATGACAATGTACTAGCTGACTTACCAATACACATCTATACCTCTAGGAAACGCGGACCGATAGGGAAGTCTAGACTTAAGCGTGTACCTAAAAGTGCCGAATTGTTACAGGACTCTAAAAATACTGACTGTACTAACCGTACTGACGACCGAAGCCCAGGAGATAAAACTTGAATACCTCGAAGACGGACCAGGATTACTACCATTTAGACTTGGACCAACTACACTCATAACCCACTATCATACCTTTCTTCAATATGTAAAACTTGACGACATAAGAGACAAAGTAACCATGTTACAGGTACAGCTACAGAACTATAAGAGCAGACTTAGTAATGACACCAACTTACTTTACGAATTACAAATGGACTATCTCTCTAGCAAATTAAATAAAGTACTAACGCAATTAAATAGCTTAGAGCCTAATCGCGCTAAGAGAAGTTTAGTAGACGGATTAGGTTCTCTAATCAAAAGCGTAACCGGTAACCTAGATTATTTGGATGCTGCTAAATATGACAATGCCATAAAAGTTTTGAGGGATAACCAGGATAAGATCGAATCAGAATTTAATAGTCACATTAGCATTAGTAAGGAGTGGATGTTACAACATAATAGTGTAATATCCCAGATAACTGAAAATGAAAATAAAATTAACTCAACACTTACCCAATTATTAGATAGAGCCAGTTATAGAGATAGTAGCCTAATCAAGTATGCTAAGTTTGCCCAACTCCTAACAATCTTAACAGAAAATATAGACGATGTGCTTAATGAACTTATTAGAATAGAAAATATATTAGCTTTTAGTCGTGCATCAAGCACCCATCATTCTATGTTAAGTGTCAAAGTAATTAATTCCATGTTAGATTAAGAAAAATTTATAATAAAGAACATGTATTAAATTTAGAAATTAGAGAATATTATGATATTATTAAGTCGGGTTATTATTTCACGGAAAATCAAATAGTAATTGTTTTAAAATTCCCTATTATTTCCAAAGACACCTTCGACCTATTCCGCTTATCTATTGTACCCAATAAAAATCATCAATCCATCGTTCCTCCTTATCCCCTAATAGCAACTAATAGAGAAAAATTCGTGTACATGGAGACAGAATGTCCGAAGTTAAGTACTCGGTATCTATGCGAAAAAGAAACGAACACTCAAATCCGAACACAATTCGATTGTATCCAGAACCTCATCGTTAATCAGTCGATAACAAAATCCTGTAAGATGACTAAGATCATACTATCAAAAGAAGCCATGGAACGCCTAGATGACAAGCACTATACCATATCCTTCCCTCAACCAACTACGGTCCATACAGTATGCGAGCGTGAAGATATAACTACATTACAAGGCAGTTATTTAGCCACAATACCCATCAATTGCTTCCTGCGAACGAATGAATTTACCATCACTAATATTAACGACCAAGTGGATGGTCATCCCCTGAAACTGATGAAAATACCGATGGATTCAAACACAGAAGAGGCCCCGGCGCTACCACGAATCAGCCTAAACAGAATCGACCTAAAAGAACTACATGCAGCCCAGAATCAACTCATGATGCAAGAACCACTTCACCTGCGGAGGATGCATCTCCAGGCCCTTTATCATACAACATTTCCTTTTTACGCCGTACTATCAAGCATAGTAGTAATTGCTATAATTATCTCAGCTCGTTACTACTACAAGACTAAAAAGCAAGAACCGGTCCAGAATCACATGCAACATAACTATGAAAAGCCCGGACTTTTTCGCTCAAAGTTCTGAAATAGTTGCTGTTCTGAGGGCGGAGGAGTTACAACATAGCCCAATAAGTAAAGAGCCTACACAGCAGCGGCCCCGATACATTCCAGTGGCACGAGGCGCAACTCAGCAGGAACGTGATCATTGACGTCAACGGATGCAATCGGCGCTCGCCAATATTCGATTTCCTAATTTTTGTTCTAATAATTATATTCATTCTAGATCTAGCATCGATCAGATTCAATACCTTTCTAGTTATAATTATATTGTAATTTTTATATTATAATAAAGTATTTTTAAATCAGTTTCGGTTTTTTTTTGGGTCCTTCGGCTGCAGTTAACGTAATTAGATTTACAATTTAAAAGAAAATCAAGATTTTTATAAACTGGCCTTCTATAACTAATAACCGTTACTTTGAATATTTAAATCCATCGAACTTTTTTTTTGTTTTCAATTCTTGAAGCTACGTAAAGCTTAATCGTTCACTACCTGGACCTTTAAAATTTCCAGGCTGGTGGATATTAAAAGGAAGTGTGATAAAAGCACGCGCATGTTGGCATGTATGTTTATAATTAAATTTCACATTGCCGTCAAGCCTTAGTATTAGAATATCACCTCCGAAGGACGACAGTTCGCGGTAACGGTAACATTCTGAAACTAAAACTGGATGCGGGTGCACGTGGTTTGTTTTCATATATTTTTTTCACTTTTAAATGAACCTATCGCCCTCTGCTTATATGTATGTGTGTGTACTATTAAAATGTAAACTCACCCAGCCGCTTGGATATCTCGGAGTTGTGCATCTTGGGGTTGTCCTGCGCTATCTTCCGCCTCTGCAGCCGCGACCACACCATGAACGCGTTCATCGGCCTCTTGATGTGCTCCTCCTGCGCCTTCTTCTGCTGCGGCTGGCCGTTCATCGCGATCGCGCCCATCGTGCCGATGGCGCCCATCGCGGTCATGTGGCTCATGGGGAAGTGGCCCATCGAGCCCCCGTAGCCGGCTCGCTCGCACATCGCGCCAGCGGCACTGCGGACAATCGACCCGTTTAGCTTGCTGCCGCCCTGGTAGTTTCGAAAGCGAAAGTATAGATGTAAGTAGTAAAGTGGCCTACTACTACTACTACTACAGAGAGTACTAGGGCATAATCCAACGCGTCCCCGATTAGAGGGCTTCACATGTCTTTTGAAATATTTTTTTGCTTTTATCGCGAAAATTTATTTCGAAAATATCTAGGTATCCTCATATGTTTTCCTTCAATGCTGAGCGCGTGATAATTTAACACTTAAAATTAACAATTTCATTGGTGCCGGAACCGGGGATGAACTTAGCTTACTCAATTATTTAAAATTAAAAGCAAGCGCCCGGACAATGAGCTGTCACGCCTTTCATTTGATCATGATTCTCAGTTATTATGAGAAAGAAGGGGAGAAATTGGAGGATGTGTTAGTAGTTAAGTGTGCAACAATCATGTTATAAATTAATGACCTTAGTCACTATTCGTTATATCAGTCCAGCAGGTTAAAAGCAAAAGTAGACATACTTCGGCTTTACGCCGCTCTTCAGTGAGTGTCATTACACAATATTTGCACGCGATGACAACCAATTATAATACCTATGTCTATTTGTGTAACACATATAGTTTTTATGTTGTGTAACACATATAGTTTGCTATTCACGCGCCAAAATACTTCGAAGCGAGCCAGAAGTTATAACGAAGCTTGGGCGTATCGACAATTTCCAGATGATCGGGATACATTTTAATTATCCCGTAAAAAAGTTAGGTGCTCGCGTCCCCAAAGGTACCGCTCATTGTAGGGCCCCTTCACACGTGCGCAACAATCGGGACTTTTAATACTCCCGCGACAATTATGACGCGCACGGGAGCGTGAAATATTAATGCGCCGCGCGTAAGAAAGAGGGCGCTTTTTAAATTGGCCGCTTATGAGCTATCGCATGTTTCCGATTGGCTGAAGCCCCTAGGAGCTGGCAGTTGAGGGCTTCGCTAATTCCGTTAAGTGAGACTCCTTATCGCGGTCGCTGAGACCCCAGCGATAAACTTCAAAGTGGAGACAAGGAGACGCTCGAGGATGGCTCGCAACCGTTAATAATAGGGGCCAATTTTCTCGTACGTGGAATAGAACATCGCCAATATGTCTAATAAGAAGCCAAGGTTTAAGTTGATCGAGCATTAGAACTTACAATTGGATTACTGAATACATCAACAAAAGCTTATGAACATTAATCATTTTACTAAGTACTGTAAACCGATAGACCGATGGCGACGTAACGTCTGCCTAGAAAGTATTTTTTAAGGAATATGCTTCTTATAGACTATTTAAAGATGTTTGGAATTTATACCTTAGAGTGGTGGGAACACATTTTATCCGTTCGTCGAATAGATTCAACATATAGGTACGAGTATGACACAACTTTAGCAATACTCGTTTAAAAATCATTTAAAACGTATGATATAACAACAAGTGCATGAAAATTTCGCAACAGTCAAATAGGACCGTGTGGCCTAATGGATAAGGCGTCGGACTTCGGATCCGAAGATTGCAGGTTCGAGTCCTGTCACGGTCGTCATTTTTGATTTTTACTTTTTTGCCCAAAATAAAATGTCGCTTGTGGGTCTGTAACTCATTTTTTTTTTCAACGAATAAGGTTGGAAACATTTAAACTTTTTATGAGTAGTGAAATATATTTTCTTTTGTAATGTGAAAAATTGGTGAGCGAGCAGACGGTAAACCTTATGTTTGTTTATTTATTTATTTAAAGTGCAACCACATCATATGTATTGGACATTTACACAGCTATATGATTTTAAAAACTTATTGCTAATACATTAGAAAATAAAGGTGTACCTACATAGCATTGACTACATATGAAATAAAAAAGTGGGTGTTTTAGTGATACGAGTATAAGTTTAAAAATATTATAAATATTTTCAATAAAATTAATGACTAATATAATTGTTTAGTTTTGTTAGCAGCTCTTTAAATCTATTCAGACTGCAATGAAATATATCCATATCGGCTTATTAATCTAACTTGAGGAGATTGTAGGTAAAGGTTTGTTTTTGTAACTGGAATGTGAAGTTATGTTAAGTGATTACCGCCACCCTTGAACATCTACGAGTAGAGCACCTTAGGGTTGCAAATGCGTTGCCAACCCTCAAACAAATGGGCCCCTGTCTCCTCAAACACCAAACGAAAGAAGGAAGTATAATGCAGGTGTTGCAGATGCGTTGCCAACAAGTTGGCCCCTGTTACCTCAAACACGAGATGAAAGGAGAGAGTATAATACTTCACGCCGATTTTCTGTGAGGCCATGGTATTCTGATCGAGAGGCTTCTTTGAGCGAACATTTTCTTATATCTACAAATTTTCTGGGACAGTGATAAGTGGCCAAAACGATAGCTTTTAGCTAGATAACTTATTAGCTAATTTAAAAAAAAAACAACCCCTTTGACCAACGCTTAAAGGACGTTTTCATGTTCTTATAGCAATTAAACTCAAAACCTGTAAACTCTTCACCTTGGAATGCATTACAGCATTCTTTCAGTCCATTTATAAATCCGTTATTTAAAAAAAAAAACCTATTATTTAATAAACCGAATTTGGGAAAAATCAACATCAGCCGCTGAAATTTAAATTTTCAAAAAAACCGGGCATGTGCGAGTCTCACTCGCGCACGAAGGGTTCCGAACCATCATCTATAAAAACGGCAAAAAAATATGTCTGTTCTATGGAAGCGCCACTTAATTATTTTTTTATTTCGTCTTTTAGTATTTCTTGTTATAGCGTCATCAGAATGATGTATTCATTTGTTAAAATTTCAACTTTCTAACTATCACGGTTCCTGAAATACAGTCTGGTGACAGACGGACTGACAGACAGACAGACAGACAGTGAAGCCTTAGTAATTGGAGCACGTTTTACCCTTTCGGTACGTAACCCTAAAAATGACTGTACTAATGTAGTCTACTATTTTCTATAGATCTATCATAATTGCCCGCTGCTGTAGGGAGAGTACCGTTACAGGAATATCGTAGACGGTATACTATTCAAGGTGTCTTATAAAGCTTATAATTTTTTTGTTTATTTGTCTGTACATAATATTTAATATACAGAACTGGAAGGAAAGGATCACTGATCCGCACTCCGTGGACTCATTTCTGTTACCATAATACACAGTCACCTTTATCTAGTATTGAAATACCTTTTAATAGGCTATAACTTACTTTACTCTAATATTATAAACATTTTCCAGAACGTTATTTAGTAATGCCGTCGTGAAGTGGTCAGTCAAGCGATGATAAATCGTTCATACATACACACAGCTTTGCCTTAATAAATGAGAGATGGGAATGAAATGATGAAATTGTTTTCCGCATACACAGCGATGTTGACCTCACTTAGCCGTCGCAAACTGTATCCCATTCAATTCCATAATAAACTACGACACTATTCTAACAGCGTTGCATTGTTCTAGTCCCACATGCATTGTCGATAAATTCTTCAAATGACCGGGCATCCGTGGCGAATGTTTACACGCACAGACCCCTGGGGTCTTTTAGACCCAAATACAATTATTCCCCGAAAGGCTTCTAGGGACGGCATTTCGGCTAATCCGCGGGTTCAATTAAGCCGGAAACCATACCAATAGTTGATTACTTAATTATGGACCTTTATTTATATTCCGTGTTAATTTCGCGGTTTTGATAGTGGCGCTTCGATTATTTAACGCGTAATGTGGATTCGGGTCGGCTTACAAAGCTCCAAGGCTACAAGGCTCATTTTTTATGCCTTATGCCTTACATTATGCAATACACCCACGAATAATTGTTTCAGCGTGTATATAAACGTTCGATGACATCAAGAAAAGTACTTTCCTTTATTAGTTACTATATTTTATTTCCATTAGCATTAAAAACCCTATATTACGAATCGCAGGAAGGGCTTCAGTTTGATCGTGAAGCCAATATTTGGGCGAAACGCAAAACGTTATGTTTGAGTAGTGCGGGGTCATTGTTAATGTTGTTAAGTATATTTTTGACCGTCCTCAAAGTACCAAGATAGCATCATGTATTACGCAAAGAAGCCAATATGAAATGGTATGTAAAATCACAAGTCAACTTATGGTTAAAGCATATTATACCATTACGACGCCAATGTGTGGAATTAAAATTGTTGATACTCACGTAGGCAATAGTCTTATTCTAAGACTATTATACCTGTATATTATATTGTAAACTGATATTTTTGAAAAATAATATAATATATAAATATAAATATTTTAGGACACATTTTTTACACAACGTTCTCTAGTCCCAAACTAAGCAACGCTTGTACCTGATAACTGATAAACATACTTAAACATACCTTTCTTTTGTAAATAAATATACATATTATACATATATCCCAGACACTAGAAAAACACTATGTTCATCACACAATATTTTTCCAGTAGTGGGGATCGAACCCTGCTTTCCGAACCGGTGGTACCTTACGAACCTATATACATAATTTTTGATGTAAAATTTGACGATTCATAAGAGCGCGCAAGCGTTTATTTGAATAAATATATTTTTGATTTTGTGTATAGAAGTACTATCGTCTTCGTTCCAATTAAGGTGGTGAAACTAATTTGCTCGTTTTATAACAAAATGGTTACGGTAAACAAAAAGCATTTAATAAATCTTTAATCAAATCGCTAACTCATTTAAACACTAACATGTCGTGAACACTTACTACTTGCAATTCAATAATGTGAACAAAGCAATATATAGACTACTTTAACGAGATTTTAATAAGTAACTTGATCGTTTCCTAATTTTGTTACGGACGTATGGAGTGATTACAAAACCCACCCCTTGTGGGCGCTAAACGTATGTGTATGTCGCGTTTTATGTCACAGTAGCGTTATGGGTGCGTTATCGCGTATGGGGTTGGTTTCGTTGTAGGAGGGTGGGTTTCAGCGGTGCAGACGCCACCCCTAATTACTACCCCGTATTAATTTCCCAATATCCCGTTCGACTACACTATCCGATTTGTTGCGTTTTGTTTCCGCCTCCCCCGCCGGCTCGAAACTAATTTGAATACGATTTCAGCGTTAATTAGATATTGAAATGTTTTATTATATATAATTTTGTAGGCGTCAGAGTATTTCACTCTTAATATTTACCACATATTTGCTCTAATTACTTATGTATGGGAAACAGTTATAAGAATAATCTATGTATGGACATTGTTTTGTTTCCTAACATAATATTTTTATTCATAAAATGTATCAAAATCAAAATCAAAAATATATTTATTCAAATAGACGCTTGCGCGCTCTTATGAATCGTCAAATTTTACATCAAAATTATGTGTATAGGTTCGTAAGGTACCACCGGTTCGGAAAGCGGTTTCTGTTGAGAAGAGACCGGCAAGAAACTCAACAGTTGCTCTTTTTCAAAAATATCAGGGTACAATATAATATACAGGTATAATAGTCTTCTTCTAGCCTACGTGAGTATCAACAGTATTAACTCTACACATTGGCGTCGTCGAAATATTCCGAAATGGT